GAGAGGTCGGGGTCGAATCGTCGTTGCTATTCGACATAGAGAAACGCATCACAACGTAATTGCCTGACGGGGGTCGGATGAGAGGAACCGGAGCGGCGGCGCCGGCGCCGGCGGTGGAGGGGGTGGAAGTGAAGGTTACGGTTGCCGTGGTGCTAATAACGGGATTGCTCGAAGCGGAAGTAGTAACGCGCTGGTTATCGGGATCGAGCCTAACCTCAGATCTGGCCGGACACGTGGCAATTCCATCACTACTACACGCGGCAGCCCCTTCAGCGCCGCGTCCAGCTTCGTCGTTACGGTCCGACGGCGCGGTGCGATTGCTCGGGGATGACGTGGCATACTCGACGGCTTCCCCGGGCGATTTCGCGGATGCTGGCGAGTCGCCATCGTCGCCCATCCAGTCAGCGTCGGTCAACCCGAGGTCTTCAAAGTCAAACGAGTCTGTCGTCACCTGCATGCGGCCGCGGCTCGGCCAGCACGACGGATGCTGCTGCTGGAACGCCGCCGCGCGGCGCATAGCGGAGAGCTGCGCGCGAGTTGGCGCGAGCGACCCGGAAGCATCGCGACTCAGCGCGCCCGATGATGCGCCGCGGGTCAGCCCGCCGGATGATGCGCCGCGGGTGGGCGTGAGGGATATGGCGCGAGTTAGCGCGGAGAAAGGCCGGGAGGTTGCCGGGGGGGAAGAAGGGGAAAGGGGGGAAAGGGGAAGCGTGGGAGAAGGCGAAAGGGGGGAAGGGGGAAGCGGCGGAGAAGGGGAGACTGGCGAATGTGGATTGGGCGGCCCTTTGCTGCCAGTTCCGCTGGTGCGTCCCGTACGGCTGTGCGTCCGCGGCTCGGCAGAATCCTTACTCGTGTCACTGCCCTTCGAGTCGCCGTCAGCGGCAATCGCGGCCCGAGCCTCGTTCGTAGGGGAGTCGGAGGGGGACTCTCCAACTTCGGATTGGGCGGCCGACAGATCCGGCAAACGACCGAACCTGGAACGATAATGTCCAGAGCTGCGCGTGGATGGCGGCGCATCTAGCGCCATGAGTTGCGCGGGTGGTTCAGATTCCGAGCCTTGAGCTGTAACCCTGTCTTTCATACCGTTGGCCGCAGTTCGCGGCTCGTCCGCGTCATAACAGTCGCGCGACTCGTCGAAAGTACTAGCTTGAAAGGACCCGTTACTGGAAGCATCCCGTCTCGAACTTAAAGCGGCATCCCTTCGCGACGGAAGCGACGACGCACGAGCGAGAGTGTTCCAGACGCGACTCCGCACGCTCGTCTTAAAGCCCAGCATACTCCCGCTTCGACTGCCCCCGTCCCCGAGCTGCCCGCCGAACTGCCCGCTGGGCAGAAAATTTAAGCCCGCGGCGAGTCTCGCACGTCTACTGATGTACTCTCCGTTTGAGTTAGTAGCACCCCTGTCCTTAAAACCACCGATTTCAGCGCCGTTGATTCCGGTCCCGCTGTTTGCGCTCTTCGTGCTCATACCAGCGCCTGCCGCGCTGCCGTTGCCGCCGGTTCTGCTGACCGTTCGTCTTTCTCTGGTGAATCCTTCCGTGTCGCTTGCCGCGCATCGTCGCACGGCAGGTCGCACGTCGCCACGAGTTCGTCGCCCGAGGCCAATGTCGTCGCATGGCTCGCCTGCGACGCTGGTCGCGGAATCGGTCATTCCAGCACCTGTACTATTCCCAATAGCGGTCTTTAAAGCGTGCCCCCTAGTGATGAGATTCCTTGCGAATGACGACGACGCTGACGTGGCAGGTGACTCGTCGAGCCGCACGGAGCTGCGGTGAATCCAGAGCTCGTCCATCGAGTCGACTGATGTCGCCATAAAGATAAGTTCTCTACGATTCTGACGAGGTGCAAGCTAGATAAGAAGCGCTATGCGTCCTGTGTGACGTGGCACTTTTAGAGTCGCCCTGCCGCCAATTCGATTTCTACCTCGTTATACAAATATAAAACAGCTGCTTCGCCGAATATCGTACAGCAACCACCAAGACGATTCTTACGAGTATTTCAAAAGGCGAGCGCGTCCGTACACATGGTTTGACCTAGGGTCTTGCTATTCACTGCCTTGTGGCCCAGTCTCAACATGCCGAGTTTTCTGTACCAGACAGAACGGGGATGAGCGAGGGAAGGGAGGGGCAACCTTGTCATTGTCCATGCATGAATGGTCTCTCATCTCGCCAGTGCGAGACACTGACGCAGAGCACTTGCTTTTGTGTTCGTCATTTCGATTGTATTTGTCATTATCTATATTGTTTCCTTGGTGCGGTGTGTGTGTGTGGAGGAGGAATGGAACCATGATCCAACGGATGGGATGGAAGGCGGATGTGTGAAAGCATCCAAACCTTCCATCCGACCGAAGGGTGGATGTCCAAGACGGAAATGGCTCGGCTGCCCCACGGACTTTTTGGAAGGTCACTCACTGCCCTAGCGATCCGGGCATATGAAAGGGCTGCACCTCCTGCCAATAGCAAGTGGTTGCAAGTTACAGGCAAGCAAGCAACTGCCGATGTGGTGGTGGTCGCCCGTTTCGATCAGTTTTGATATTTTTCCTTCGCCTTGCGTCGTGTGTGAAACCTTTTTGTGGCTGGGCTGGGGGACTCGAGCATGCGTGCCATACAACAAAAATGTGCTGTCTCCAAGTGTGCTGTACTGGTGCTAGTGAGTGAGAGAGAATTTGGGTGGGTTGGAAACGGCGGGTGGGTGTGGTGGAGGAGGGAATGGGAGACTGGCTGATGGTGGTGTGGTGTGCTGCAGCAAAACCTGTGGGAAGGAAAAATGTGGAGTCGCGAGGTGCTTTCTAGCGTGAGGGTGAGACGACGACTGTCTGCTGTTTCGCATCGCATCGCATCGCAACAACTGTCCAAGCGTTTCTTCAACTCCGTACGCAGCCAAGGAACAAGGATCCGCTAAAATAACGGCTGGCTAGAACCGCTGTAGTAAGCGTTCGCTACGCAAACTGAAACATCTTAACTTCTCCAGATTCAGGAGTCTGAATATAATTACAAAACTAACACTACCTGCCATTAATTAAACGTATGTGACACGGATTTCAAGCTGTGAAAATGTTTGCACATCATATATGGAACAGCATGCACTGGACTACAAATATAGTAAAGATCACTGTGGAGCACGTGATGATCACGTAGCAAACTCATGATCTTATCATGCTCTGTTTTGTTTTGTTCAGCCCTGCCCCCTCCCCCCCACCCCTTCCCCCCAACCTAGACGTAAAAAAAGTTGCTGCACGCCTGTTGCCATCAAAACGTCTCCGTTGGCTTCGTGTAATGGTTAGGAACATGTTTCTGTGTGTCTAACATATACGCCAATCTCTCCAGTTGTAATAGATAATAACGAAGTTTTTGTTCAACCATCACTATCGAGGATTTCTGGAAGCTCACGCTGCCGTTACATTGGGAAGAATACACAGATGTCAGTGGCTGACACACTTGAATCTTGCGGAATGGAGATTCGCTGATGCTAGGAAGTAGCCGCGCTACTCACATCGTACGGTCTGGATTGGCTTCAGACTCATTCGCCATTGGGCTGCGAGTGAGAACAGACTTCACGATTTCCTGCTTGGGCTGTAACCAGATTGCACTTTGGCAGGTGACGGTGTGTCGTTAGCGGTGCGAGCGGCGCTGCCCACCCCCGCTGGAAGGGAGCTGGCTGAGGGGCGGGCAGATGGGGTGTGGCCGGGCAAGCAGGAGTGTGTTGAGGGACCGAGCAGGCCAAAGTGGTGTCTGTTCAAACAAAACGGCAAGGATTGGACGAGGCAACACTGGAAATCTGGCACGTACAATTTGCTCCATCGACGGCTGATGTTGTTGCAAACAAGACAGGATAATACATTTCTGAACAATTACACTACACTTCTCTTTTGGTGCAAATGCCGGTTATAGATTGACACGACGTGATTGGTCTGATGGGGCTGTTGCCGCTGCCCTTGATGCGCAAATGAGGAGCCGAGGATCTCTGTGCGCATTGCTTGCTTGATGCTTTGGTGGTGCTGGTGACCCTCCTGCCCTGCCTCAGGCGGCACTGTAGCTAGGACGGATGGTGGGTGGGGTGGGGTGGGGGGGGGAAGGAAACAAGTGAAAATGGAGGAATCTAGGAAGCACCCCACAGTCCGAGGAAGCATGTGCCAGATGGAAACAATACGGTTCTAGAATTTATCATTGTTTTATAGAGGCTTATAGCTCGGTGACAGAATAGCAACTGTCAAGATGTGTATTCAAATTTCCACGCACCATTTGCCTTACCGCGCGGTCTTGAATCTGATTTTCATGGTACAGAGAGGTACGGCTCGGTGCACAGGAGCGACTTGTGTGGAGATGCGCAGACGCATCTCGTATCTCTGGCCAAGGATGGATGTGAGGGGTGGATGGATAGCCAGCAGACCACGGATGGTTCATGGGGATGTCTTGACGGCCACGGGAATATCTGAGTCATGCATTCTTCCTCTCCCACCTGTTGTATTTGGTTCTCTTCTCTCTCGGTTCTCCCATGCAGTACCTCCGTCCGTTACTCGATTCATTTTCAGGCCGCGTGTTCTAGATTCCACCTGACATCACTTCGCGTTGAGCTCTCTATGTGCTTCGAGATCCTATGAGAGCCTCGAGATCGCTATTCGGCCAACTGCCGGATTATCAGTCGCAGCGAACTTAGTCGTTCGGCATGCGCGTTCGTCGTGCGTCGAATCAGGGAACCGCTCTAGCCCGTATTGAAAGCAGCGCGTTCCATAGAAGCAAGACACTGGCTCCGTAACGACAAACCCGCCTATTTTTTTTGTGCGCACGGACGGTCGACGAATTTATTCCGACTACGTAGTCTTCTTGCATTATTTTTTCCTCGGAACATTCCAGACAAGCGCTCCTTCTATCAAGCTCCAACAGTCAGGCTAGACGCCTCCAGAAGACTCCAACCGTTAAGCCAGACGTCTAAACGGCGCTCTTCCTGTCAGAATCCACTCCTCTTCTGAGACGTCTCAAGAAGCTCCAACCGTCAGACCAATGATGGCGATATCATCGGAGCGCGAATCCTCGCGTTTTAAGAATATGATCTCGAGTTTCCGCAAGGAACGGGGAGCGCGACGACGCGAGATGGAGCCGGCGCTGAGCCTGCTCAAGTCTCACTCCCTCCAGCCGGGCTTCGAACTCACACGCCTTAGCGAAAGCGGCAACTTGATTTCGTTCACTCCTCGCCCGTCGCTAGAGCTAGAGCTTTCGCAGACCTCTCCTGGCGTGGAGGCGAACGGAGGAGCTGGCGCACCAGCCCAGGTGGTAACCCGTCAGTCGAAAGCAGCTGAGAATCATCGCCGGCAGCAGAGCTGCGGAGGACACGGCTTAACCGGCAACGGTGATGGTTACAAGCCGTCTGTTTTGACGGCGGCGAAGGAGCAACCGTTATCGTGTGACGGCCCGGCCACAGCAGCCGCGGCGCCCTGGGGTGGTGAATACATTGAAGCGTTCCGATTGGCTCGTGTGGAAGACCACCTGATGAACCACCTGAAGGACCACCTGAAGAACCACCTGAAGGACAACCTGCAGGGGAAGGATGAACAGTGCCAGGTGAATGAACAGTTTCGCGCAGTCGAGGCTCCCGGCACGCTCGAGATCTCTGTTGCACCCGACCAGGTTCAGGAGAATTTCCAGGGTGAAGTGGGAACCACGGCGAAATGCGACGCAAGAACGACAGTTGCGGATACTGCTGATTTAATTGATTCGCCCGATTCCGTGATGGTAAATGCAGGAATTATCCTCTCCGTGGGCAGCAATTCCCCCGCTGTCAGCAATGGAGATCCGACCGCGAATTGCGGAGGGGGCGAGAGCGGTGGATGGGAAGGGAATGTGCGCAGGAGCGACGGGGAGGCCGATGGGGGGACGAGGACCGGGCTCGCGGAGGTGAGGGGGGAATGCGTAGGCGAGAGCGGAGAAGAGGCGGCGGAAGGGGGTGCGCGGAGCAGCGGATGGGAGGAGGGTGACGCGAAGGCAGCGGCGGAAGCGAAGGAAGTGGTTACGGAGGTTTTCGAGACGGAAAATGGCGGCCTAGAGAGTGAACCGTTGGTGCATTTCCGAGGGCGGGTGAGCCTCCCCCAGCTGAACCTGCGCCTGGCTGCCCTGCCGCTGCTTCGGGCAGAAAACTCGGGCAGCCCGAAAACAAAAGAGCTGGAGGAGGCAGCCCTGTGGACGGAGGAGTGTGGGATAGAGAGAGGGGAGGGGCAGCAGGGGCGGAGAGGGGAAGGCGGAGCGGATGAATCCGCGGATGGGGGGAAGGCGGATGATGGGAAAGCGGATGAGGGGAGAGCGGATGAATTCGCGGAAGGAGGGATCGTAAGTTGCCCGGCCCGGATTGGTCCTCCGTCGTCTTCGTTATTGTCACCATCCGTTAGAAGGGCGTCGCAGTCAACGCCCCACACTCCCCAGGGGAGCGAGGCGCATCACCTACGCGCTGGTTTCGGGCGGGACGGTCGCCTGAAAAGTCGCGACGGGCTGGGGGGGGATCTGGAAGCGGGACGCGCCCGTAACCTGCGCGGAGCCGACGCGCTGGGGGGAGATCTCGAGGCGGAGGGGGGAAAAATGGGGACAGCGCTGGCGGACAGGCGGGGAGGGGGCGCGGGGGAAGCGCGCGGGGCAGCGTGGGGGAGATGGGGGCGGAACCGGCGCACTGAGAGCTGCTTTGCGGGTGGCTCGGGGAATGACGCCGGGTGCTTGAAAGGGGGCGGTGGCGGGAGTGGCGTTCGCAGCAGCGGTAGCAGCGGCGGCGGCGGCAGCAGCAGCAGCAACAGCAGCAGCAGCAACAGCACTGGCAGCAGCAACAGCACTGGCAGCAGCAGCAGTGGTAGCGCGGGCAGCAGCAGCAGCTGGGGTGGGAACGTGAGGCTGTCAACAAGGAGGAGACGATTGCATGTGAGTAGCAATGGCGGCGGCGGCAGCAGCAGCAGCGGCAGCAGCAGCAGCTTCAGCAGCATGGGGACAATCAGCGTGGGCTCCACGCCTGGGTCTTGCCTTAAGGCATCGGCCTTCAGGGCAAGAGAAGCAGGAGCAGCAGCCGGAGAAGCAACAGGAGAAGCAGAGGAAGCAGCTAGGGATGTTGATGGGGAAGTACCCCGCGTTATTAGTCTACCCTCTTTACCAGCTCCTGCTGTACCCTCCTCCTCCTCCTCCTCCTCCTCCTCCTCCTCCTCCTCCTCCTCCTCCTCCTCCTCCTCCTCCTCCTCCTCCTCCTCCTCCTCCTCCTCCTCCTCCTCCTCCTCCTCCTCCTCCTCCTCCTCCGCCTCCATCTCTTCATCTGTAGCCATCACGTCAGCAGCGGCAGCAGCAGCGGCCGTGGCAACAGCCTCGTACATTCTGAGGCACGACTCGCTCACTGCTGCTTCGCTTCTGGACCTCGTTCCTCTCACCGCCTGTGACGCCTTCTTTCCCTCTGATACACCCAATGCGACTTCCGCTGCTGCTGCTGCTGCTGGGACTTGCGCTGCTGCTGCTGCTGCCGATCACGATGCTTCAGCTGATTCCGTTGCAGTCGCCAATGCTGCTGCATCTGCTGCTGCAACTCCTGCTGCTGTAACGGTCCCTGACTCTGCCCCAGCCGCTGCTGCTGTCGAAGACGGCTGTGGGAGCGGAGGGGAGGGGCGTGTTGAGTCCCCGCTGAGAGCAAACGAGCCCTTGTTGGCACGTGAGGGGGCAGACAAGGCAGGGAAAGTGGAGGCATTGAGGATTCCAAAATCCCCTCTGACAGCAAACGAGCCCTTGTTGGCGCGTGAAGGGGCAGATAAGGCAGGGAACGGAGAGAAATCGGATACAGGGCGTGCAGAGACCACAAGGATAGCAGGGAGTGACCCTGTGAAATCCACACAAGCTCTAGAAAGCAAGGGCAGTGTGAGCAGCAATGGTTTTGATGAGAGCAGCAATGGCATTGATGATAGCAGCAGCAAGGCTAATGGCACCAGCAATGGTACTTTGGGTTGCAACGCCAAGGGCAGTGTGAGCAACAATGGTTTTGATGATAGCAGCAAGGCTCATGGCACCAGCGATGGTACTTTGAGTAGCAACGCCAAGGGTCGCTTCAAGGTCCGAAGCAGGAAGCCTGGCAGCTTCAGCAAGGCGCACCGCCGAGCCACCAGCTCTGGTTCGGCATTTGGTTTGGCGGCAGGCGAGGAAGCAGCAGAGCAGGAAGCATCGTCCGTGCACTTGCCTCCGAACCACGGCGTGTCCGAGTGTAGTTCAAAGTCCCTCCCCCACGGACCAATCAGAGCTCCCCTCCAAGCTCCATCACGATCCCGGGCGGCACTGAAATCAGCCTACAGTGCTCGGCGGCGGGCATTAGAGCGAGTATCAATGCTCGAGAGAGCCGGTACAGCCACAGAGCTGGCGGGGGAGACCATGGCCTATATCTGGACGCACACGCCCTCCCTGCAGCGGTCTCTGCGCCGCTCCAACTCGTGTGGAGAGCTCGCTTCAGGGCACCATGAGGATTTGGGGGTAGAGGTTGGTGGGGAGGGGCGGAGGAAGGGGGTTGGGGAAGAGATTGGGGAGGGGGTTCGGGGGAGTGGGGGTGCGGGAGGATGGGGGAAGGGGAGTGGGAGCGGGGGAGGGTGGGGGAAGGGGAGTGGGAGTGGGGGAGGATGGGGGACAGGGAGTAGGGGAGGCAAGATGGAGGTGGCGGAGGCTGCAGTTTCTGTGGCGGGCGGGGGGAGGGGGTGGGGTAGGAAAGGTGGAATGTGGGGAGGGTTTTTTTCCGGGCAGCTGGGGCAGACACAGGGTGGGTTTTGGGGTGGAGATGAGCAGCAGCAGAGGGGGGAGGGTGGGGAGGAAGAGGACAGTGATGACAGCGACGATTTCCTGCCGCCCGGTTTCTCGGCGCCGCTTGTGTACAGTGTGTATGAGGGACGGACGCCTTACCTCCCTGAACCTCCGGAGGCTCCTGAGGCTCGGGAGGCCCTGGAGGCTCGGGAGCATGGCGCTGCGCAAGCTACTTCTGTGGTTGGGCAAAATGAGAACCCCTTGGAAGCTGGTGATTCTGCTAGACTAGGAACCGCAGTAGCAGAAGAAGCATCGGCAGCAGCAGCAGCAGCAGCAGCTCCAGATTCAAGCAACACTGTGGGAGAAGGATCGGAAGGAGCTGCTGCTGTGGTTGAAAATGCAGCATCCCGTGCTACTGAGTCAGGCCTTTTAGGCTCGGGAGTGAAGTCCAGCCTTGGGAGAATCCCGAGCCATGGGGGTATACCCACGTGCCAGCGCAGCTCGGCCAGTCACAGCACTGCAGCACGCAGACAGGGGAGCAACAGCAGCAGCAGCAGCAGCACCACCACCACCACCACCGGCAGCGGCTATCAGCCTTCGTTCCGACCATACGGTTTGCCACAGCGGACAGTAGCCCGGCACATCACCAAGCCCTGCAGTCTGCCGCCTCCCACTGACATGCAGCGGCGCCTCGTGTCAATTTCCGACCCCCGCGACCTGCCCTTCAGAGCGCCAGTCGCTGCCTCAGTTACCACCCTCCCGTCCTTCGCAGAATACCGCGCGAAGCTGGCTGTGGAGAAAGGTGGGAGTGGGGGTGGTGTTGGTGGTGTTGGTGGTGGGGGTGGTGGTGAGGGTGGGAGTGGGGAAGCGGGGAAGGGTTTGGAGGGTGTGGTTGGGAGGAAGAGGGGAAAAGGGCGTGGGTTGAGGAGGGAAGGGAGTGGGGAGTGCGAGACAGGGAGGTTGGGAAGGGGGGATAAGGGGAAGGTGGTGAAGCGAAAGGGGGAGAAGGAGAAGGGGGATAAGGGCAGGTTGGGAGAGAGGAGGAGGCACCAGGTGGGAAGCCTCTTGGTTCCTGACACTGTAAGCGAGGAATCAGAGGGGGAGGCCAATGGAGTTGAGGCATCTGCTCATGAGGCGTCTCTGGAACAAGCAGACGGGGAGAAGAGTGAAGAGGAGAAAGGAAATGGGTTGAGTTCAGTGGAACAAGCAGAGGAGCAGAGCAGTGGAGTGGATGCAGAAGCTGCTGTTGAGGCGCCTCGGGTACAAGCAGAGGGGGGGAGCAGTGGAGACGCGAGAGGGGATGATTTGAGTTCAATGGGACAAGCAGAGGAGGAGAGCGGTGGAATGGAGGCAGAGGCTGCTATTGAGGTGCCTCAGGAACGTTAATTCGATTTCGTTTGTGGTGTTTGGATTGAGGACATTTTGCTCTGCATTTTGAATCCCGGCATGCAGTAAACTTATTTTGCTCTACTTTACCCTCCTGCCATCTGCACATAAACCCATCAACCACCAGAACTCATGCAAGGCTGCCAAATTGCATAGACTCAAGCAGTGTCATCTATCAGCGTACGTGAACTGCAATCAAGAAGAGGTGTAGAGTTTGCCACATAGCAATTATTGTTGCGTGCAGAATCTTCACAAAAAATTCACGAGGTCTGGAGTATCTCAGCTGTGCATGAATCCCCTGCGTACACCTGTCACAGAGCTGTTAGAGATGGGCGGGTGCGACAAGTTATACAACATATGCCCAACCTTCTGTTTGTCGTGCACTTCGCATCTGTTGAATTTTAGGGCCCGTTCCCATTTTTTTGCCTAACTCGGTTTCAGTGTACAGAGTGTACTCAAGGGTCACCGCGCGCTGTAGCACGATTCTGTTCGGTGCGTTACGTTCCAGAACGGTAACGAGGCAGAAAGAACCACGATGGAACGTGGGAAAAAAATCTGAAGTGCACTGAAAAGGACGACCGTTACTCTCAATGGGGGCACCCACCTGCCTTGGGTGCTGGTCCGCTGTGTGTGAACCCACTTGACCGTTGAAACAATGCAGCGAACCTATTTGAAGCGCATACATAATCTTTCACCATCGCATGATCACATCTCATCATCGCATTCGCATAAAGGGGTGTCCGAAGTGAAACGTCGACATCCGCTGACATCCGTTTGGGGATGTCGATGAAAATCAGCCATCGGATCGGGGATTCCGACCGTCAGGATTCGTCGACATCCGCCGACATCCATCGACGTTTCACGTCGGACACGCCCTAACTCTGACACATCTTGGTACGTTTTCCTGCTTCCATTCATCCCAAACCAAGCAACAAGTGGTTGAAATAGCATTAGAGCAGGTCGGGGGTTCGCATCAACAAACCTCTTCACCGTACTGAAACCCGAATTGTTCACCATGCATTTGATGGGACCGCGTTGAATTCAGTGAAAAGTACTGTGAAGGTGATCTCGATCCCCGATTCCATCAACGAGAACCACGTGGTAAGAAGGAAGGTGAGAGGCATAGTACAGATACTGCCGTATTGACACACAAACCGAGTGAGCCCTGGTAGGAAGGAGGAGAAGATCATACACCCTCTTTCGCGCTAGTAGAGCACCTGGTTGCAGAACATACACGGGTTGTAGAACGTCACCACGTTCAGAATGGTCTTGTCACCTACTGTACAAGCACAATGCGAAGAATGCGGTTAGGTGAGGTGATGCACTTTACAAATAGCGCTGTCAACGTTCTCATTAGGTTGGGAAGGGTATACAGCGATTACGGATATTTTACAACCTTGAGCCAGTTTGTCACGTGGTTCGGCTTTCCCCCCAGGTTGCTTTGAACGTTTAATGGCACCAGATCGCAAGAGACAAGTACTGTAGCGACGAGTCGCGCAAGGTGAAAAGGTTGTAAAAAAGGGTGTATAGGGGCCGAACAGTGCCAGAAAGGTGATCAAACAAGAGGCAAGAGGCCCGGAACTAACCAAACCACTTCGCAACAAGTTATTTGCAGAGGGTTGTCATTTATTGAACGTATGTCTGTTAACAGTTTCCATTTCGGCTCGCGCTTCATTATTCATGGAAATATTTACTGATTCATCACCTTCCAACCAATAGGGTCGTTTAGCAAGCCAGAAACACTTAGGGCAGCCAGAACAACTAAAACCCCAAGGGGAACCTTGATGCATTTTCAGGATGGATCAACCCTAAAACAGGGATCCTTCGTTGTGTTTAGGGTTGATGCCTCCCTAGTCGCATCCATTTCCGAATGGGTATTTTTTTTCTGCGCATTTTCGATCATGAAGTGATATTTATTACTTATAATAAATATATTTTTGGACTCACAAATTAATACAGCAATATTTACTTCCAGAAGAACGCGATGTGCGAGTAGTAGTAGACGGCGGTCGTAACCATTTTTTCAATAAGTTAGACACGAAGTTTGGTGCAGGTAGCATTTCTCTTTTAGTCACGGTTCGGCTTGTTCGCCTAGCCTCTTGGGTAGCTCGGGCTCAAAATCTTACGGTCGAGATTTTCTGGCCCTACTTCGGTCATCCCTCTGGC